CTTTCCTCTTTAGTGACTTAAAAAAAAGTTGGAACTATTTATGTTTCAGTCACCATGCAACTCATTATATTTACTGTTTTCTTTTCCTTCTCAATAATTTACAAAATCTTTTTTTTTAGTATTTTTAAAAAATCTTGTTATGTTTCACAGTAAATACAATATAAAAGAAAGCCATCCGTTAGGAAAAAGGGATGCAAAAAAATTCAAAGATGATGTTGCTGTTCTCTTCGGTGCAGACTTTTCAGGTATTTATGAGTCCTTGTTTACAAAAAACGCTTCAATTTTGAAACAAGTGTGGAAAATTGGCGACGCTTCTGCAGCTTTATATATAGTGGATCAACTGCCTCTCTTCTTCACAGTTCAAGAATTTCCTGTTGACATAAATCGAGCCTTTTCTCGCCTTCCCAACAAAAATATTCTGATACCAACGGTTTTCTTGCTACTAACTATAAGGCTGATGTTATATGAAACATCACAGAATATGATTGACTTTTTCCAAAATATTGGCCTTTTAGTTTCCTGCTATAGTGCAACATCGCGTTATATTTTATCTGGTGCTCATCTTATGATGCCAGGAATTGTTTCATGTAGCAAAAGTAGTTCATTGAAAAAAAATGAGGGTTCAATAGCCTTAATTTATATAGTTGGAAATGATATCCCATTTGCGGTTGGTCTTCAGACACGCCAGCTCGTTATAAACAGCGAGTCAGGCATAGGTGTATATGTTATGAATTGTTTCAATGATTCGTTGTGGAAATATTTTTATTCCTGCTTTCATGTGAAGAGTCTTGCACTTTCTATTGGAGTGAGTTCTGTGCCTGAAGAATTTAGTGAGAGGCAGATTTTATCTGCAATAAACGATAGAGAAGATGAGTTACTACCTAATGATTCAGAAAAACAAGTATACAAGACCACAGAGAAATGCTTTTCTGAAACTACTAACGATTCAGACTTTTCCTCTATTCTAGAAGAACATCATGAACTTTTCCAAGATGAAGAATCGATCCTAAAATTTTCATTCTGTGAAGCTGTAAAATCAATAAAAACGTCTATGCTACCACTTCCCCTATGTGAGTTTACATCGATTTTTGTTAAATCGTATCCACTAATTTCACCTGATTCAAAAGAGATTGATATTCGTAAAACTCACGCTAAAAAAGCACTTTCATACTTTCGAAATTTCCCAGACGTTATCGAACTTACAGAGGTATCTGATGGAAATTATGTGGTTGTGAAAATAAACAGAAATCAACCACTTCTTCGTGACCACAATAGTAAATACTCTACCTTTCTCAAGGAAATTCATGAACCAAAAAAAGAACAATTGGCTCGGAAGGATCAAATGGATAAGCTAAGCGATTTTTCCACCGTTGTACTACCAAAAATAATATCGGTTTCCGAGCTGTATTTTATCGGGAAGGGTCTAGATTTAGATTTTCTTGCCCCTTTTTTTGAAGACTCTAGTGCTTTGGAAGTAATTGAGACTTCCGAAGAATTTAAAATAACAAGTATTGAGAATGTGAATAAGCCTTTGTTTGATTCTAGCATCTTTAATGATGGATTAACTTTAAGTCAAATCAGAAACGCGGTAAAAGGGTATGTTAAATTCAATAAACTAATAGGATCTTCTGGACAATATAGTAAAATTCCACTTGTCAAACTAAACGCAACGCTATCTTGGTTTGCATGTTCAGATTCGTCTGAAATATTAATAACTACCTTAATAGAACGTGTCCTCAAAAGGTTCATATTAAAACATAAAATTGTTTGGAAGCCCTTTGTTCAAAACGATTCCATTGTTATTGATGATATTCATTCACGTTGTACTTTAGCTAATGGATCCCCTCCTATTGTTAAAATATCTACAAAAATGGAACGTGGTAATAAAGTTATCACTATTGTAGAGAATCTCGACCACTACTGTTTAGATTTTCAGACAGTCTCCACATTTTTTCGTAAAAAATTATCAACAAGCTGCTTTGAATATAGTCAAAATGGCAAGGTCGATATTTTAAAAGGGGGTGCTAAGAACAAGTTACAAATTGCTCTTAAAGGTAATGTAAAGGATAAACTCACAAAATTGATTTTAAACGAGTTTGGGATTCCTTCTCGGTATGTTAATCAATGCGCTTAAAATAGTAGTGGCTAATTATTCGAGTAGTTTTTTATTTTTAACCACTTACTATCGACCATTTTTAATATTGCATTTGCAACCAATTTACTGACAACTGGTTATTATGGCAATGTTCACCTTGAATAATTGGATATCTGTGTTATTTTTCTAATTCACTGTTTAATTATTTTAGTGTTATATTTGATACTATAAGCAGTATTTTAATAATACGAAGCTATGAAAGCATTATTTGCCACAATTTTTGGCTTTGCAACCGCTAGTTGGTTCAATAGCGTATCATGTGCAACAGACTGCGCGGTGTCCTCCACTCGCCTTTCACAAAATAAGTACTATTCCTGTCCCTTGATTAATGTGTATGATGAATCTCACGATGCAAAGGTTTTTCGTTTTGCTCTTCCAGAAGCTGATATGTCTCTCAATATGGAAGTGGCTTCCTGCCTATTACTCCAATTTGTAGATAATGATAAAAAAGAAGTGGTTCAGCCGTATACACCCATTTCTCGAACAGATCAACTTGGCTATTATGAAATATTAGTAAAAAGGTCAGAAGAATCCCCTATGAGTAGTCATCTATTCTCTTTGAAAAAGGAGGATACTATCAATATGAAAGGTCCATTTGTAACAATGCTGATCAAGCCAAATCAGTACAAATCTATCGGTATGATTGCAAGCGAAGATGGGATTGCTCCCATGTACCATGTTGCACGCAATCTTCTTAAAGAGACCAAGGACACTAATGAAATATCTCTTATTTACGCAAATACGCGCAAAGAAGATGTTCTTTTGGGTAATGAAATTAATGAGCTAATGGAGACCTACCCTAGTTTTTCACCGTACTTTGTCCTTAAGGACGCTCCTTTACGTTGGATGGGTGGCATTGGTGGTGTGAACAAGGAAATGATTAAAGCTATTATGCCTCCACCGAATCGTGTAGAGGACTCCATTATTTTAGTAAGTGGGCCTCCATCATTTATGAAGGAAATTAGTGGTGAAAATAAGTCAAAACAGCTGAAACCAGGACAGGGGGAACTTCAGGGACGTCTTAGAGAGCTAAGGTATCCTCTTAAAATGATCTTCAAATTTTAAAAATAAAGAGGAAAGTACGGTAGTAACTAGGTTATTGAAATACACGCATAATCTTTTTATCTTTCCTCTCTTTCCCTTATGATATGGTTGCGGCAGGATCCCATCTTTTTGTTTTCGCTTATTGTCTTAGAAACTGAAAGGGTGTCAACCGCTGTAGGTCACTTAGTAGATGTTTACAAATTATGATTTCCTTACATTATCTAGATTATGATTTAATTGCTAATTTTTTGTTGGCTAAATTGGATTGGGCATTGAGACAAATATTATGTGCACCGATTACAAGAAAAAAAAATACAATTCTCCTTTTTATTAACACAGTAAATGTGTTTTCAATGCGAAATGATTATTCATATATATATATATATATATATATAACTCTGTAGCGTAGTCTTTTTATGTGTTTGAAGGTGGTTTCTTTTCTTTTTTCATATATTGGTGCTTATGACCGGATCTTTTTGCAGCCATACCAAACCCTAACATACATGCTGTTATCCTTCAGATGTATTTATATGTGTTGGTATGCACATTGCTGCAAATTTGACTTACGTCAAAAGATCAAAGGTATAAAATGATGTAAGTTTTATCTTGTCACATTTATCTGTTCTACCTGACCCACGTAACACATTCACTTCACTAAGTAGCACACCCACGGATGGGAAGGTGTGCGTGCTTTCCTTTCATCGGACTTATATAGTGATAATAGTTGAACTGAGTTTATAGTATAGTATTATCTTTATAAAACATTAAGCCGCTTATTGCGCAGAAATCAGAAAAATAACAAGTTTCAAAAGGCACTTAGTACAGCTTCCTACTTATAATCACCTAGTATTACTCTGTAGTGTCACTCTATAGTGTCCTGTTTGGTTGTCAATTTTATCCCAGCCTTTACATTTTACATTTACTAATTCAGGTGCTAAGGGTGCGAATTATAAATTCTGTGAACAAAACGAAAAATTTGACTACACTGCGAGTTTATTTTAAAGAACGAATGGGATTTATTATGAACGTGTAAAAGGAGCTTCTATTTGATATTTCACAATCATAGCTGTGATAATGGTATATTCGACCTCTTTATACATATATATATATATATATATATATATGCAACTTGTGTCCATTGTATTCATAAAAAGAAAAAGAATTCTGTGATTTTTATAGGCTTATTTAAAAAAAAAAAGGGAAAAAATGTATCAACCTGTAGCAATGCTTCTTCTCTCTAAACCGATATCGCAGGGGTATGTGGCAAGTCTTCCCCCTCCCCCAAGTCCTTCATATGGGCGTAGGCGTCAGTGGATGCGAGCGATGGATGCTAATAGTGATGTGCGGGCCTTCTACACCCCTCATGCGGCACGATACGAGGCGTGGTACAAGGAAATGTACCAGTTGGAAGACCTCGGCAACGGCTGTGCGGCTTCGGGGTCGAGCTCGAACAAGCTTCTAGACGATTCCAAGAACATTCAACACGCAGCTGAGGACTATGACTTAAAGAATGTACAAGAGGAACTCCAATATTGGTCCAATGAGTTCAAACATTTGACCCAATTAAAAAGGTAGGTGTCTGCATTATAACTTACATTTTTCAGTCCGTTTCTTTTTTTTCTCTCCCTTTTTGCAAAGTCGTTGCTCTAATACGCATATTTACCCAATTGCACCACTTTCTATTTTACTTTGATTATGACTCTCTCTCCTTCCTGTGGACGCACTGCAATTTTTTTTAATCTTTGTTGAAATATGATTTGTAATAGCTTTTATTTTAAATCAGAATATATATATATATATATGCGATAAATGAAAGTGAACCAATGTGCAAACAATCTAGACAAACTGTGAAAAAAGATGGAATAGGTTCACTAAAAGTAGTTACATTTCACTGAAGTGCAAAATCACAACTATTATATTTTCGATAGCATCAAATTCCATATACCAAGGCATTTTTTACTTCCTTTCTAGCCTGGTATATTACTGAGGAAAAGGCATACTAACCGAAGAGTGTTTTTCAATATTGAGGTTATCGTTTCTATTTCTTATAGCAATATTTCCCCACACACAACATTGATTATTTAATTACAGAAAAGTTGGCCATAAGCTAAATGTATTAAGACAAAAATAGGGCTCAGGATTTTGAAACTCTCTTACTGTCAAATTTACAATATCCTCATAGTATTAAGTTGGCAGTAATGAGGAAAAATGTTCCTTCTAAAGAAAGAAGACTAGTTTTTTTTAAAGCAAGCAAGTGCTTTACACTGTGTTGGGCTGATACTTCCTGGATGTGGTCAAATATCAATGCCCTTCACGTTTAATCTTGTTAGACCTTTTCAATGAGAGTGTTTTATCAGTTAAATACAGCTTTACTTCTCATCAAAGTATCTAAGCATAACCTATTACTTTACCGTTGCTGTTTCGAAGTATAACGTCAACTAGTTTAATCATCGATATATTATTAAATATTGGTATTATCAATGATGTCAACAAAACCATGGTCATACAAGAAGAATTGAGGGAAGTGACATTGGGAACGGTGACACAAAATTACTATTAGTAAACACTCATCAAGTAAAATTAATATTATTTTTGTATTCACCCTGTCTGGAATAAATTTTCTTGTACAAAACAATTTATACACCACGCGTATCATTATTTATTTTGATTGTGTAAATAATATTTACACTAGAGAAACTAAAATGTGTATTTTTTCCCTTGAACTTGTGAGAATAGGAAATCGTGATGATGGATGGCTTAGAGCAGCTTTGTATTGATTTTATTTAAATCAACTTGGGGCATGGAA